GCAATTTCTTATACTTTTTTACTTGAAGGCGATAGAAATATTAAAAGCGCAGCTAGTACTTAATTGTCAAATTTAAAAAATTTATAAAAAAGTGAAAACCAATAACTAAATGAGCCCAATCGAAAATAATAGTTTTTTAGATCAGAAAAGTGTTTAAATACTTTAAATTCGGGTTAAAGGCGTGTATATGATATCACTTTATTTTAGCTTAAAGAATATTTAAAGGATAATTCCCATTCTTTTAGCTAAATGGATGTTAATAATTTTCATTATATTTTATAATTCCAGTTTTCTAAATTAAAAACTTTACTTGTAATACAGTAAAAAATTATCTAAATACACAATTAAAGATACGATCCAAATTTAACAAATAATAAAAATCATTTATTTTTTTGTAATTCAAATGTTTAACTAAAAGATAGTTCTGGTAATACAAATAGTACCTATACACTTGTAGTAAAAAATCAATATATTGTAACCATTTTTGACAAATAATTATAAAACTATTTATAATTTTTTCTGTTTAAACCAAAAAAAATCAATTACCGGATATATATTACATATCTAAATGGGTTAAAAAATAATTTTTTTGCACTTGAAATACACGGTATAGAATCTTTAATATGTTAAATACATTAAATGTAAACTATTTTTATATTTTTTTCTTATTTCAGTATTTTTTATAAAAAAATCAAACTAGCATATCGTCCAGTAATAAAAATAAAAAATACTCGATCAATCATAGTAAGTTTACATTACTAGTACAATTTACAGTTATTGAGCTGATATCATATTAAATAGATGAGCCCTAAAATATAGTGCAAATATAAACAATTAAAACGCCTGAAAATTTTTATTTTAATAATTTATTTTAGACTACTTATCGATAGTGTTGCTATAATCAGATAGTGCATTTGCAACTAATTATAATAACCCGTTTTTTCCGTAAAATGCAAAGCGCATATTATTAGTAATGCTGATATTATTGTTCTGGTATATAGTATTATTGACTTTGAGATAAAAAATCAATTACTATCAACACTGAGCTGTGAAAATTTTAGCATTTATTTCAGTTTTGCTCAGTATTAAGAGCGTACTTGACAATAATATATTTTAAAGATATGTTTTTTACAAGTTACAACTTGAATTATCACAAAATATTGTCATCACACCCTATTCGGGTTTAATATTAGTTAAACGTTCTTTAAAAAAAAAAATGATACATTAAGATTTCGAGATGAAATTGTGAAAATTATGTATTCAAAGAATCTATAAAACGTATACCAATATAGCAAAGGTTACTAAGAGAGTGAAATGTCTAATTTTAGGATAAAGCGTTATTGCAAATAGTGCAATATAATCAAAATTACGATTTATCGAGTTATTTTTTTCCAATTTCTATAAATGGTAATTTTTAGCAGCAAAAATAATTACTGCATATTCTATTTGAAATACAAAAGAATATAATAAAAATTAAATTTAGTAAAAGTAAATAGAGTAGTTATTGTTCCTTGTTCAAATGTTTTAAATATTTACAGGGTTTTTTTTTTAATTTTTTCCATTCTAAGCTTGATAAAAAACAAATGAAAAATATTGAACGTTTAATGGAATTGGGGTTTTATAACTGTTTATGCTTACATACTCCTTTCTTTCCTTTTGTACTGTCATATTTAGAATAAATCAAGTCTATATAGTGTAATCTTTTTTATTACTCGTATTTTTATAAAATGTCACAAAGTGAACAAATCCGCAAATTTTATGAAAAGCTAATACACAGTTCACTTCGCCAGCTTCAATTACAAGATGCTATATACTATGCAGAGCAATTATATTTACATTATGATACAGACATAAACACTATACTTACAGACATGTACCTTGACGCTAAAAAAAGTCATGAACATCAAAATATTTACAAAAATAATCTTCAACATTCTGCTTCGACTTTAATGACCGACCCCGCTGAGAATAATTTTTTTAAAAATACTTTGGGAATATCCGGGTTATATTGGCTATCTCATTGTTATTGGATACAAGCCAAGTACGAATCCGTATATAATTTGCTTTCTACACCCTTGCAATTTATTATTGAAAATTACTATAAAAATATATCTGCAGATGAATCTATTTTACCACAACCGCCACATGCGCACAATATTACAAGTAAAAAAGGCTGCTATGATAACTGCACTATAAATCGAATTTTATCGAGTACTTTATGGATATATGCAAATTCTTGTTTTAAAATATCAAAATTTTACGAGGCGGAAAAGGTTGTTTTTCATTTAAAAAACCAATATAAACCGAAATCAAAAGAGAATTCAACTAGTGCAATCACTTGTGATATTGAACTGTATCCAGTTCCAGAGCTAGAGTCGATTTATTACTTACTTGGACAAATTTGTTGGAAAACCAATCGCCATAATATCTCAGCCGAGTATTATAATTTAGCTCTTGTAGAAAACCCTTTTTGTATTTCTGCATGGCGATCTCTTTGTCAATTAAGAGCTGGTAAAGAGAGTTTAGATCGACTTGAAAAAAGCTTTGGGGCTGTTAAAATAAAGACCAAAAAAAAAATCAGAGCAGGTATTAATACAAAAATAAAAAAAAATAGCGTTTCTAAAAAAAGCCCTAAAATTACAACAAAAACAGTCATAAGTTCAGCGTTTCGCACTTTTGCAAAACCTTCATTTAATAAAAAAAGACTAAAACCACTAAATCAGCGAAATTTAACAAGGATTAGAGAGATTTTGGGAGATAAGACTACAAAGATACCTCCCAACACATCAAACAAAATTCTAGAGTCTCCGGGTAGTGTTAAAAAAGAAAAAAAAAGACGGATTGAGGCAGTTCCAGAACAAAATTCAACTTTAAGCATTAATGAAGATCCCATGCCATTAGATGATAATCGGAATTATAGTAATGCTAGTACATTAGATATGGATTTATCGTTTGTTGATTATATTGTAGATATAAATGTTAAACTTTGTAAAATATACATGTGCTCGGTGGAGCATGTGATTACCGAGGCAAGCACTTTATATAAAGAAATAAAAAATACACCTGTGGGTGGTGGACATGATTGCGTACTTGCGATGGCAAGTGTTTACCACGAGTATGGTGATTATGAAAAAGCGATAGAGTTATTCAACAAAATAAGTAAATCAACATTTATTAACCAAAAGGGGCTTGATTTGTATTCATCTCTACTATGGCAAATCAAAAATAAAGCAGAAATTGTGCAATTATACTGGCAGGTAAAATCAATCGAAGCAACAAAAACCGTAGAGCTATATATAATTGCAGCAAATGCATATTCTTTGGATAAACGCCATGATTTAGCAGTGGTGATGTTATACTATGCTTTACAGGTGTTTGAAAGTGGGGTAGTATTTGAAAAAATAGAAAATATTGATCAAGATGTTGATTTAAGGATCAAGTTCCAAACAGAGCTCCAAATAGATGCGGATGTATTGGCAGATTCAGTGCTCGGATATACGAGCAAAGTTATTGCAAAGTGTCAAGATCTAGAAAGCTTGAAACAGGTTGGTTATATTTATACGCTATTGGGGTATGAATTTACGAACTATGGAACGTTGGATTATGCGATTAGAGCATTCACAGCATCGATAAGAATATATAAATATGGGTATAATCCGTACTATGGAATTGGGGTGATCTACATGCGCTCGGAGAAACTTGATCTAGCAAACTACTACCTTGAGCAAGCATATAGATTAAATAGCGGCAATCCTATGGTCAATTGCTGCCTAGGTATGATTTTCGAAAAACAGAAATACTACATTAGCTCGTATCAATACTACAAGCGAGCTATTATAAAAG